ATATCATATATTGCAAATGATTAAGTTACAATTAGGTCTTCTAAATTCCCAAAGGCAAAAACACAAGACGTTAAAATTATCAAAAGAATATTAAACATTAGTGTTTACCAGAAGGATGTCTATGTTAAGTCCGCAGGAAGAAAGGTAAAACTATTCTTATACCCAATCTTCTGAGGAAAGATTAAGGAGAAAGAAAAATCTTACCTCCAGGTAAGACAAAGAGATCTTGTGTAAAGCTATAGAAAATGTAATACTACCTCTACATTAGTATATACGTATAAAATATTTAAGAAAAAATACGTTAAGAAACTGACAAATATTGTTGCGTCCATGGAGGGAAACGGGTTTACTGGACAGAAAGGAGGGAAATTACTCACTTTACACGGTGTTGTGCCTTTTGAGGTCTGTGCCTGTCTACATAGCTTCCATTTCCCAAAAGTTGACTGAAGTTATTAGAGGGGGTTACATTAATCCTGCATTGTTCCTAAATATAATACTGCCTAGAATTCAGATAGTAAATGAAATTATATGGAGCTATGCTAGGATATCCAAGCAGCATCTGAATGACACCAAGAACAGTCTTCTTGTGATCAAAAAGGATATGAATCAAATGTATACACTTTAAAAAAATCTCATCAAGGCAGATCTTATAGTCAAAACACATTAAAAGCATAAACATGGCACTTATTTATCATACCTTTTCCTGGTATCACCATCATCTTAAGGAAACACTAATACTGCTGAAGTTCATGGAAAACTTAATATTTTAATGTATTTGGAGGGGGAAAGCTATTTGCTCTACTATTTTCTAGTCATTAAAATCTATAAAGCACAAAGGTTTTTCTATTGCCTTAGCTGAAAGTATACATTGAAAAAAAAAAACCTTTTTAATTAAAAAGAGAAATAAAAATGTGAAGACCCTGGATAAATTCTTCATGTCAGTGACTCACCTCTACTACCACTTGAAATTTCCAGAATAGTTCTCTATCTTCCTCTCAAAAGCCACCAGGATTTCTTGCATAGGAGCAAGCCTTTCAGGACTGGTTTCAAGATCTTTTGGATTTCAGCTGCTGGAAAAGAAGGGCCACCATTTTTGGTCTCAGGAACTCTTTGGAAATATTTAATACAGAGTCCATTCCTTTAGTTTCATAAAATTGCTTTTAGGGGAAGTTGCTCTCTTTCTGTATTAATTATTGTTTTTCAGAATAAACCACACAATCTGAATTTTTAAATCATAATGTGGAAATTAGAGGTAGCAGTATTCTTATCTTTCCACAATTTCTAGGTATTCTCAGATCCTGATGATCTGTTGCCACATTTGCTAGCTGCTACAAATTCAGAGAATGACTTTTTTTTAAGTAATGAAATAAAAGCGTTGACAAAGTTAGAAAAGTTCACATCACATTTTTGTTGACGCTACTTACTATGAAATTCTTACCATTTGAAGCCAGAAATGAACACTTACTTTCATCTAGATACTTAAGGCCCAGCTCAGGAGTCAGGCTGGACTCTTCCCTCTGCTGCCAGAAGTCCTCATGATTTTAATTCCTCAATGTTTCTTGTAGGCTTCCCCATTTATCAGCCCCATTGCCACTATCTTAGTTCATGATCTACCTAGGCTACTGCAGGAACAGCCCATAAGGTTTATCTTTTCAAAAGGAACATCAGATGTTACTTTTCAACTGAGAACATTTTAAGAGCCTCTACACTCTCTGCCCCATCCCTAAAACTTACAGAATCACTATCAAGTCAGTCCCTGGTTGTAATTCCCCCTCTAGCTCCTTTAACCTACAGTGCACTACTCACAGATCACTACCGTACTTTCTGTAACACAACATACTTCTTCCATCTTCCGGCCTAGAAGGGTCTCTACACACTCAAGTGTGCTTTCAGTAATTCATAAACCAATAAAGATCACTATACAATAGCAAGAAGGCATTTTTTAAATATTAGAGTTTACCATAGGACTAAGCATTGCAATACATTTTTTTAAAAAAAGGACCCACTTCTACTTCCAAGTAAGTAACTTGACAATCGCCCATCATTTAGTTGATAGTGCTCAAACCAGAGCTCAGTTCTACTGTCCTGGGCCAGGGCTTTTACTCTACTTCCTAGCCTCTATCACTGTATTTACGCAAAGCAAGGAAGAGAATGACCACATTTCTAAAATATTATGTGTAATGAAACTGATGTCATCTTTCCAAATGATCAATTCATACATGTATTCATTCAGCATCACCTAACAATTTCCTACCAAATATGACTGGATTTAGGAATTTAACGCCTTATCCTCAAATATATTCTCAATTTTACCTATACTAGGCAGTATAGAATTAATAGAGTTAAATCCATCAATGACCTCCACTAAGTAACATCTTACAATTTTGCTTACCACTCTAAGAACCATAAAGCCAATTACTACAATAGAGAATTTTAAAATATATACTTTTTAAAAAACTATTACTGGACCAACAGATGGCATGGAGGTTAAGGTGCTAAATCTCACATCTAGCTGCACAGTTTTGAGTCCCTGACCCAATGGTTTGAAATCCCACCAGGCATGCATGCATGCATGCCCAGGATCCTGACAAGATAATGAAGAAGGGATTGAAGCATGGCTATACCCCCCAGGGTATGATTCCTTACTTTCTCATTCTCTGACTCTCTCCATGCCCTAAGGAAAAAAAAAATTTAATTAATTAATTTTAAAATTAAAAAAAATTATTGCTCTTACTCAAAATCTGATCCTAAAAAAAATTAACAAAAGTAAGAGCCAGTGCCATAGCCTAGTGGTTAAGAGAGTCCATCCCTCATGGCCAACACAGTTCCAATCCTGGCCTAGTGGCTTAAAAAACATGCAAGATACATGTGTGTACACAAAAAAATCCAAAAAGGACAGAGAAACAGAAGAGAAAGGATAACGATATGACCACATCCCATTAATGGGTGCTTTCTCTCTCTCTCCCCCTCTTGGGGCCAGCAAGTGGCATGATGGTTCAGGCACTGGACTCCTAAATGGCCAACTATGATTCAAGCCCCAGATCCGGCAGCCAGAAAATCATATTGGGCACATGTGCCTGTATGCCCAAAAGACACATACATTTTCCAAGAGGAAAATGGAAGACAAGGGATTGCAGTGTGGACATCTACCCTACGGAGTGATTTCTCACTTTCTCTCTCTCTGTCTCCTCTGTCTCTTTCTGGTGAGTACATATATCCTATGGCAAAAACCTGAAAAAAAAAATGTAAGTATATACATGAAGCAATGATTTGGTCAATTTCGTGAGCTTGATTAAATTATAACAAGCAACACTCTTAGAAAATAAGAAGGTTGTCTGATCTAGGATTTTCTTGGATAAATGTGGACTAGGAATTATGTACTAAGGGCTATTATGTGCCTGATTCTATAAGGCACTATGAAAATTTAAGGGTTAAAACTTTAAGAGATTAAACAATATTTTAACACATATATTCAATGTACCTCTCCAAATTAGCATTTTTCTTTTTCTTTCTTTCTTTCTTTTTTTTTTAAGAGAGATTTTTTACTATAGGGTGTGTGTGCTTGCTGAAGAGACAGACAGAGACAGAGAGATAGAAAGCGAGAAATCATTCCTCCCCTCCAGGGGGGGATATGGCCACACCACAAACTCTTCTCCTCTATTCTCCTCTAGGGACTTGGGCACACACGCACATGCGCCCAGCATGAGTTTTAAGCCACAGGGTCTAGGACTCAAACTGCCTTTGACTACGTGAGAGTCTAACAATATAACCATTACGCCATCTGCTGGTCCCAAGACATGTTATTGAGGAACACTAAATTAACAATTGGAAAATCAGAACCATTCATAATTAAAATGACAAAATTCAAGAAAGAATCAGGAATATTTTAAAAATTCAGAAATGAATACAAATGGAATATGAAAACAAATAAATACATCAAATAACTACCAAAGTAAAATGGAGAGGCAAAAGAAAAATCAATAAATGAAAAAGGAATGAAAGGGGTCAGCAGGTGGTGTGGTAGTTAAGGCATATGGCCAACAACGGTTCAAGTCCCAGATCCTGCAACTTGAAAATCACACCAGGCACATGTGCATACAGGAGAATGAAGAAGAAGTGATTGTAGCATAGCCATCCTGACGGGGGGTGGGGGTGGGGGGTGATTTCTCACTTTCCCTCTCTCTGTCCCTCTCTGTCTTTTCCACATGCCCTACAGCAAAAAAAAAAAAAAAAAACTAAAAATAAATAAATAAGATATTCCTTTAAACAAAGGGAATTGAGGGGCTGGCAGGTGGTGTGGTGGGTAAGGACACTGCACTCCCACATGGTCAACTATGGTTTGAGTATTGGACCTGGCAGCTTGCTTTCTCATTTTCCCTATCTCTCTCTTTTGCTCTGTCCCTCTCTGGTCAAATTAAAAACTAAATAAAGAAATGCAGTTAAATAAAATAATTCTTTTTAAAAAAGGGAATTAAAAAGAGTCAATGAAAAAATGGCAAATACTAAATTAGGCAATGAAGAGCCAACATACACATAGGAAGATTCACTGAAGAAGGAAACTAAACAAGGAAACAGAATATTAAAAATTCTAATTAAAAAAATTTTTCACCTAAACAAAACAAACAAACAAAAACTACAGAAGTATATCATGTATTGGTATTTTTCTTGTCTAAAAGAAACACATTTTATATTTAAAGATGTAAATAGGGGGGCTAGATAGTAGTACAGCAGTAAAAACCCAATGTTCTGCAAGGCTGATGCAGAAAGGAAGGTTCTGAGTTCAAGTAGAGAGATCTCCCTGCTTAGCTAGGCACAGGCAAGCCCATGACCCAGGGCAGGCTAGAGCTGCGGGTGGAGCAAGTCATCAGAATTCTGTTGGGAGTGCTGCCTGCCTGACTGGTTTTCTCTCTCACTCATGGAAGAAATAAATAAATAAACAGTTAAAAAGACATAAATAGGTTAAACATAAAAGCATAGAAGATAAATCAAGCAAACAAAAGATAAATCAAGCAAAAGAAAGCTACCAGGACTACTGGAAAAATACATAACAAGTACAATAGACCTGTACCACTGCTAGGCTACAAAAAGAAAATGTGAGCCATCATTTTAATTTTCTAACAGCCCAAAAAATAAAAATAGGTGTAATTAATTGTAATAATGTATTTTATCTTACATCTCTCTTCTCTGCAGAATTCATAGGTAACCTAACCATTTATCTCACCTTAAAAAAACTTAAAAATTAGTGTCATGAAAACTTTTTTACAATTAACTGATAGGATAATTCCAATAGCTAAAAAAGATATAGTGGACAACTGCGGACTGGTGCCCGCACACTCTCCCCCATGAAAAAATAAATGTGTGTGTGTGTGTGTGTGTGTGTGTGTGTGTGTGCCTATCCCTCCCCTAACTCATTTCTCTCTAGTTTCAGATTTTTATTTTTTAAAGACAACAGAGGTACCAAACAGGAACGCTGTACTTCAATCAGTTATAAATCATTTTATTTCACAAAATTAATATATGTTTAAATAGTAAAATGTATCAGAACTTTATCTGAAATAGAATATGTCAGAGAAGCAAAAAACTCCTTTAATGTATTTAACCACTTTCACACCCTACCTCTTATAATCCTTTACATCTCAGTTTTACTACTGAAGATGGGGTCAATATAGCACTAACATAAAAACCACCAATTTTAATTGCTTCAGTACTCTTTTACCTATTTTCCTTGTATTTGGCCCTGATTAGGAATTCAAGTTGAAGTCACAGAACATATCCTACTGATGAAGAATAATGAAAACTCATGATTTTGGCTTTCCATAGGAAAAACGTTTTTTATGGAAAAAGAAAAATAAAAGATTGATCTCAGCATTAAAAAAAGTTAAGACAGGGGCCTGCAGGTCATATATGGTGGTTAAGGTGCTGGACTCCCACATGACCAGCGGCAATTCAAGTCCCAGACCTTGCAGCTTGAAAATCACGCTGGGCGCATATGCATGTATATTCAGAATTCCAGGAGGAAAGTAGAAGAGAAGGGATAGTGATGTGGCCATCTTCCCTGGGTGTGATTTCT